TGGAATTTCCAGATTCAGTGAACACCACTGAGATTTCTCGTTTTCTTCGTACCAGCTACTTTTCAAACAGTTTACAGGGGGAAAAAAAGAAGTGTCTTAATAAGGTCTTATCTCGAGAAAGAGGGGTTTTCCATCCCTTTTGTTCACTGCATACACCGTATTGACACTTATTTGAAACTTCCTTTTTTTTTTTCTTTTTTCACCTTCTCTAGAGCTACTCATTCACAAGATAGTAACAGTGACAAATTTCTTTACTGGAAACGTTCCTAAATTGTGTAATTTTAATACATGAGGTCGACCGCTCCCGTGATTGTCCCCGAATCCTTTGCTTTGGAAAAGGGAAACTCAAAGCCCGCGAATCGGATGAGCAGAGCGTTGAGGAAGTGCACCAGGGAGCAAACCAGGATGGTCCAGAAGCAATCGGCGAAGTGCTCGCCCTGAGTCTTGAAGGTGAAAGATCCCTCTTTGAAGTTGGCGATTTTCTCCGAAAGGTGGTGGATCTTCACCTCCGACGAGAAGAGGATCATGATGAGGCAGCCGCAGGAGCCTGAAAGGGAGGGTGATAATCAGAATTATTATATAATCATAATTATTATACAATCATAATTATTATATAATCATAATTATTATCATTATCACCCCGATATCAATCCCCTGCCCCTTCCTGCCCTTGTGGGTGAATTCCCCATTTTATCACTCAGTTCTAACTTGGAAAACACAAATTTTGGCACAGCAGAGCCGCCCTCCTTCCTGCCTAGAGCTCGGTTTTACCAATTTAGGGTCAGCACGGCCGCAGTCCTTGACTCGCCCTAATCTGCCGATAAATGGGGTTTTGTGAGCACTGAACTCGGGGTTTTGTGAGCAGTGAATTTGGGGTGTTGTGAGCACTGAACTCGGGGTTTTGTGAGCAGTGAACTCGGGGTTTTGTGAGCACTGAACTCGGGGTGTTGTGAGCAGTGAATTTGGGGTGTTGTGAGCAGTGAACTCGGGATGTTTTGTGAGCAGTGAACTCGGGATGTTTTGTGAGCAGTGAATTCGGGGTGTTTTGTGAGCACTGAACTCGGGGTGTTGTGAGCAGTGAATTTGGGGTTTTGTGAGCAGTGAATTTGGGGTTTTGTGAGCAGTGAACTCGGGGTTTTGTGAGCAGTGAATTTGGAATTTTGTCCTTTTGCCAGCCCAGGAACAGCCCCGCAGCACTCACAGCCGATGAAGCTCCACAGGTACAGCCCCACGGGGCCGTGCAGCGTCTCGTAGGGGCTGCCAAAGGCGTTGAACATGAAAAAACCCGCTGCCACCAGGGCAAAAATGATCAGAATCGTGCAGAAGAGAATGACGCTGACGTGGATACTCGCGGGGATGATCTTCAGCAAATCTGGAAAAACTGAGAGAACAAAACAAAGGCATTATTATTATTATTATCATTATAATTCTCATTATCATTATTACTATTATTATTATTATTATTGTTATTATTATTATTATTAGCATTAGCATTAGCATTATTATTATATAAATGTATTATTATTATTATTATTATTATTATTATTATTATTATTATTATTATTATTATTATTATTATTATTATTATTATTATTATTATTCATTATTTTATTATATAAAGCTGTCTCTGAAGTCAGACTGGGGGTTCCTGCTGGTTTCTGGTCGTTGTTTTAATCCTTTAAAGGCTCCAAGGGGATTTTAGAGCCCCTTCCAGTGCTTCCCTGTCAGGATTTCTAAAGGAGTAGCATTAGTTCCTGTGATGTTGTGGGAAAACTTGCAAAACTGGGTATTTAAAAACACAGCTTTGTATCGGTTTTTTTAAGAAAACGGTTTATGGCGTGCTATTGAATCCTCCCCTTGGCATCTGTAGCTGTTTATGCCATTAAAATTTTATATGGGCTGCATCGGGAAAAATGAACTGCAGTCCTGAAAGGAAAACATTCCTTTAGGGCGCTGAACGAACCCGTGTGTGCAGAGACCTTTGGAAAAGGAGCTGTGACCCAGAAACTGATGGGAAACAGAGCAGCAAATGGAGCAGAAGCTGCAGCGGCTCTGCTGGCAGAGCAAATTCACGTCGCAATTAAAAGAGACGCTCCGAGGGGAGATTTAACGGGGGAACTCAATCACGGCTCCTGTTTTCTGCTCTGCTCACATGTTCAAAGTGCAGCGAGTGCGCTCAGCTGTGGCTCTGTGTTTTAGACGTGATTTCTGCTTTCTGCAATGAGCTTCCAACGCGTTGGGATGAGGGAGAAGGCTGCAGGAACAGGATTAGTGTTTTGCTCCAATTGCTTTTGGAGGTGAACACTCCTGTCCTGAGTGAACACATTGTCCTGGCTGCACTTTGCTCCAGGAACAGAATCAACATTTTACTCCAATTTCTTCTGGAGGTGAACACTCTGTCCTGGCTGCAATTTGTCTCAGGAACAGGATCAGCATTTTGCTCCCATTTTTTTCTGTAGTGAACACTCCTGCCCTGGCTGCACTTTGCTCCAGGAACAGAATCAACATTTTACTCCAATTTCTTTTGGAGGTGAACACTTCCAGGAACAGGAACAGGATCAGCATTTTGCTCCAATTTCTTTCAGAGGTGAACACTCCTGTCCTGGCTGCTGGAATCAACATTTTGCTCCAATTTCTTTCTGTAGTGAACCCTCCTGTCCTGGCTACAGGAACAGTATTTTGCTCCAATTTCTTTCGGAGGTGAACACTCCTGTCCTGGCTGCAGTTTGTCCCAAGAACAGGAACAGTATTTTGCTCCAATTTCTTTCTGTAGTGAACACTCTGCCCTGAGTGAACACTCCTGCCCTGGCTGCTGCAGCTCCAGGAACAGGATCAACATCTCTCTCCAATTTCTTTTAGAAGTGAACACTCTGTCCTGGCTGCAGGATCAGGATCAGCATTTTGCTCCCATTTGTTTCTGTAGTGAACACTCCTGCCCAGGCTGCAGGAACAGGAACAGAATCCGCATTTTGCTCCAATTTCTTTCCGTAATGAACATCCTGCCCTGGCTGCAGTTTGTCCCCATCCCGCTGTGCCTCTCGGTGCTGCTGCCTGAGCTCAGTGTCACCCAGAGCTGAACCAGCCCTGAGTCAGGATTTCACTGACAGCAGCAAATCAAACCTGGGATGGCACAGASTGCTCTGAAAATTCAGTCACACGGTGTTTTATTGATCTTGTTATGCTTGAAGATAAATGGGTTATGAGTGTAAAGTGAAGSCATTACTGATGCTTTGATATTCTGTGTGTCAGGTACAGTCAGCCAGCATTCTCCAGGCATCCTCTTCCAATTAGTGCCACAAATAATGAACTCTGGGGCTGCTTTGTTTCTCAAAGCACTCGGTGCCTGCCCCAGCTCTTTTGTGAGCTTTCTGCTTCAGTTCATTCTCCCCGACAGCACAGAGGTGACGCTGTAATGCTGACACACCCGACCGAGATTAATTAAATCCCCCCAAAATATTATTTTAAAATGTAATAAACCTTTCGGAACGAAGATACCCGCGTTATASACTCTGGAAGACATGAGCCGAGCTGTATTATTATTATTATCATCACAAAATAAGTTATTCATGCTAAAATCATCGATCCTGAAGATCGGAGCACGGCAGGGAAGGTTGGTTCGGTGTGTCCCACCTTGCCGGGCTGGGTGTCGGACAGAGGGACCCCGGGGTGCAGAAAAAACCCTAAAGCCATCAATACTCACAGGAGAAGTGCAAGGGGCGCGCTCCGAGGCCGCACTGGCGCAGCCGCTGGCCCGAGAAGAGCCCGTAGTGGATGTGGCCCAGGAACTGGCGCAGCTCGGGGCCGCTGGCATTCACCAGCAGCGCTCCGGTGGAGCAGAGGATGGTGCCCCGCACCCAGAGCTGCGTGCCCGTGGCCACCGCCGTGCCCAGGGCACAGGCCAGGCTCAGCACCCCSGCCAGGCAGAAAAGCAGCTTCTTCTGCGGCGCCGGCATGATGCGCTGAGGGAGAGGAGGGAGAGGAGGGGCACGG